TTGATGTATGAGATTTTGTTCCTGTCATAACATTGTTAACTATTTTCTTTGCAGTCTCAATTGTGTTATTGCATTCAAGAACTGTGAGTTTTATACTTTCATGTGTTTTATGATGGCAAGTATTGCCCTTTAGTTTCCATGTTTAGAACTCCTTTAAGCATGTCTTGTACTGGTGATGAATTTCTTTAACATTAGCTTGTCTGAGAAAGATGTTATTTCTTCTTTATTTATGAAGCTTAGTTGAGCAGGATACAAACTAAATTTGGCTGGCTGTTATTTTCTTTAAGAAGACTGAAAATATAACCCCAATATCTTTGTGCTTATAAGGTTTCTGCTGAGAAGTCTGCTGCTACTCTGATAGTATTTCTATTAGTTTATTAGATGCTTCTCTCTCATCGGTCTTTGGTTAGTTTGATGACTGTATGACTCAGTAAAGTTAGTCTTGCACTGTATCTACCAAGAGTTCTTTGAGCTTCTCTTATGTGTATATCTAAATCTCTAGCATGACAAGGGAAGTTTTCCTCAATTATTCCCTCAAATAGATTTCTGAAACTTTTGACTTTTCTTTTCTTCTCCCTCAGGAATACCTTGGAATCATAGATTTCAGCACCTTACATAATCTCATATTTCTTGAAAGCTTGGTTCATTTTACAAGAACTTCTCTTTATTTTTGTCTGGATGAATTAATTTGGAACACCTGTCTTCAAGTTCTTTCTTCAGCTTGCTCTAGTCTGTTGTTAAATCTATTACCTGTATTTTATAATTCCTTCAATAAATTATTTTCCAGAAGTTGTGTCTGGGATTTTATTAAATTGTGGTGTTTTTTGTGAATTTTTCATTCATTCATATCCTGAATTGATTTTCAGTTTTTATGTCAGTTTTCAACTTGCCTTTGGACCTCATTGAGCTTCCTTACAATTCATATTTTCAATTCTATATCTGACACTTCAGAATTTTCATTTTGATTATGACTCATTGCTAGAGACCTAGTTTAATCCTTTGGGATGTCATTACATCCTGTTTTTTTTTCATACTGTCAGAATTATTATGCTGGTTCCTTCTCATTTGGAGAGACTGTCACTTCTTATTTCTTATTTATTTATTTTTGAGACAGATCTGGCTCTGTCACCCAGCCTGGAATGCAGTGGTGTGATCTCAGCTCACTGCAGCCTCCACCTCCCATGTTCAAGTAATTCTTCTGCCTCCATCTCCCAAGTAGCTGGGACTACAGGCGTGAACCACCATGCTCCGCTAATTTTTGTGTTTGTAGTAGAGATGAGGTTTCATGATGTTGGCCAGGCTGGTCTCAAACTTCTGATCTCAAATGATAGGCCCACCTCAGCCTCCCAAATGCTGGGATTACAGGTGTAAGTCACCGTGCTCGGCCACTTCTTGTTTTTGAATTTACTTTTGTTTGGGTGTGACATTTTTTCTACTTTGTGGGTGTGACCGTAATGTATATTGAGTAGGGTTGTTTGCTTTTGATTCTGGGTGTTTTCAGGGGAACAAAGCTCTGTCTAAATTCCTTGGTTGTAGATAGCCTTAATGTTGTGTTTCTTCTTCTTCTTCTTCTTCTTCTTCTTCTTCTTTTTTTAATATTGATTGCAGTAGTGGTGTACTCGGCGTTTGAGTGTGTCCAAGCCTCCTGCAGAGATATGAAGTCAGAGGTCCTACATGCTACATACTTAAATCAGCAGATTTTGTATTGGATTGTGCTGTTTGACCTCCAGGCTAGTAGGTGACACTTGAAGGTAAGAGCCTTCTGGCAGAAGCAGATGGGTATTTGCTTCATCTTTGAGACCATATGTGGCTGAAGCAATGTGAGTGATTTAGTGATGTGGAGACATAAGAGTTGAGATTCTCTGTGCAGGGCAGACTCCCACAACAAGTGCACACTGAGTGTGGCACTTACTAATGCACAAAGGAGAATGAGCAATCCTGCTCAAAGAAGAATGAGCAATCCTGCATGAGATCTCCACCAAAATGACTTTGAGGTAGAATCACTTTTTTTAGCCCAGAGCATGCAACTTCACAGATAGGTTATTTTATTTTATTTTCTGCTGCAGGAACGCTGCCACTCTATGTAAAGAAGAGAAGGGGTTTTACCTTTTGTACAAGAGTATACCACTAGTGGGGGCATGAACACCCAAAGTAGATCTGGTATGGACATCCATAGGCACACCCATGCCATGCTTCCATGGGAGCAGCCATGGCTGTGTTCATAGCAGTCAGTAGTTTGAAGGCGATTTCTCCCTATCAACTACTGTGCCCAAGGACTGATGCTGCTTGGATGCTGAGGAAGAACCACACTGCTTCCCCATGGAAGGATGGCACCTGTGTCTCTGCTGGATGGTGAACAGTCAACTACAGCCCACAAGCAGGGAGCTATTTGGCCCAGGAGAGCATGCATTCTCATTATCCTTGTTCCCAGGCACACTCCCTTATTGCACTGCACTCTCCTTTTCCGAAGGAGCAGCATACCCTGAGCGCCAAATGACTGGGAATCCTGCAGCTTCTTTGGTCTAGACAGCCCTATGTGGCTGCAGCAATCTGAGTGATTTAGTGACGTGTAGACATAAGAGTTGAGATTATCTGTGCAGGGCAGACTCCCACAACCAGTGCACACTGAGTATTGCACTTGCTACTGAATCTCAGGTCTCAAAGGAGAATGAGCAACCCTGCATGAGCTGGCAGCACAGTGCAGTGATCTCACAAAATTCCCAAATTGCCGCCCACACCAATACTTGGGTTCATGATGGGAAAGGAGCTCTCTCCAACACTTCAGAAATCGGTAGTCTGCTGCAGGAATGAGGGGAAGCAAAAACAGTCCTATCTACCCTTTCCTGGAACCCCAAGTCCTCCAGGCTTGATCTCTGCCAAATTTTGCTCCCTTCTCTTTTTGGTGTCCTAGCTTCTTCCTGTGAGTTCTTTGATAGGCTCTGGCACTCTCTACCTATATTTGAGTTATGATTCTTCATCTGTAACTTTGGTTCTTCTTTCTGAGGAAAGTGGCATCCAACATCTTTAATCAGCTGTCTTGAAGAGCCTTAAAGTTTTTGATGCAGATTTAAAGGACTACCTTAACAATCCATCACCATAGACATGCAAACAAACTCACATTCAGTTGATAATTATTACTCTATAGAAATCACAGTGGCACTGAAATAATCTGTGTAAGTGATAAAAGACAGACATTATGACGAGTATAAATAAAATTGTTGTATAAAGCAGTATTAAGAGCATAAGAAGCTGAAAGAGCAAAATAATTTCAGTAAAACTTTACTGAGTAGATCTTGTGTGTGAGTCTGTTTTAATGCTGCTATAAAAATACTAACCAAGGCTGGGTAATTTACAAAGGAAATGTGTTTTATTGACTCACAGTTCCATATGGCTGGGGAGGCCTAGGAAACTTACAATCATGCTGGAAAGCAAAGGGAAAACACCTTCTTCACAAGGCAACAGGAGAGAGAGAGAGCACGTGAAGGAGGAACTATCAAACACTATAACACCATCAAATTTTGTGAGAACTCACTCACTATCATAAGAACAGCATGGGGGAAATGGCTCCCACGATCCAATCACCTCACTCCGTTACATGTGAGGATTATAGGTCCCTCCCTTGACATGGGGGGATTACAATTTGAGCTGAGATTTGGGTGGGGACATGAGCCAAATGATATAATCTTGAATGCACTTGTTGGAAGTGGAAAGTATTCAAGCAAGGCTGAAAATTACCTGTCAGAAATGACTTTTAAAATTCTCCTTGGGGTTATCAGTCTGGTCTATATGACTTTATATATTTATTTATTTGTTTACTTTTTTATTGTGGTAAAATATGTGTAACATCAATTTTATGATTTTTACAATTATTAAATGTGCAGTTTGGTAGCATTGATTATATTAACATTGTTGTGCTACCATTATCATCATCTACCACGGGAGCTTATTTCATCTTCTGCAACTGAAATTCAGTACCCGTTAAACAATAACTCCCCATACACCCACATTTTACTCCAATCTCTGGAATCTGCTATTTTACTTTGGCTCTATGAATTTAACTATTCTATGTACCTCATATAAGTGGGATTATACAGTATTTATCTTTTTGTGACTGGCTTATTTCACTTAGCATAATTTCTTCAAAGTTCTTCCACATTGTAGCATGTATCAGGATTTTCTTCTTTTATAAGACTGAATAATATTCCATTGTATTGTCTTTTGTTTTTGTGTGTTTGTATGTTTAACTTTTATTTTAAATTTGGTGCTACATGCAGTCATGTTACATAGGTAAACATGTGTCCTGGATGTTTGTCGTACAGATATCTCATTACTCAGATATTAAGCCTCATACTCATTAGTTATCTTTTCTGATCTTCTCCATCCTTCCACCCTCCAACTTTCAGTAGACTCCTGTGCCTGTTGTTCCCCTCCATGTGTCCTTGTGTTCTCATTATTTAGCTCCCACTTATAAAAAAGAATGTGCAGAATTTTGTTTTCTGTCCCTTCATTAGTTTGCTAGGAATAATGGCTTCCAGCTCCATCCATGTTCCTGCAATGGACATAATTTCATTCTTTTTATGGCTGCATAGTATTCCATGGTGTATATGTACCATATTTACTTTATCCAGTCTTCCACTGATGGACATTTAGATTGATTCCATGTCTCTGCTAATGTGAATAATACTGCAATGAATAATACTGCATGCATGTGTCTTCCTAATAGCATGATTTATATTCTCTGGGTACACACCTAGTAATGATAGCACTGAGTCAAATGATATTTCTGTCTTTAGACATTCAATGAATGACCACACTGTCCTTCACAATGATTGAACCAATGTACTTTCCCAGCAACAGTGTATAAGCATTCCTTTTTCTTGGCAACCTCATCAGCATGTTATTTTTGACTTTTTAATAATAGTCATTCTTACTAGTGTGAAATGGTATCTCATTGTGGTTTTGATTTGCATTTCTGTAATAATCAATGATGTTGAGATTTCTGTCATATGACATGGATGACTTGGCAGTATTTCTTCATGCTGCTGAAGTCCTTCTCTAGCTGCTTCTTGCCATCCTCATCCTACCATTTCTTGCAGTACTTGGTGAAGGCCTTCTTCTTAGATTTATGCCAGTTCTTATAGAAATGCCTTTTGCACTCATCGCTGATGTGCTCAGCGAAGACAGCCTTGAAGGTCTGGAGGCCTCGAGGGGTTTCCACGTAACCCACAATGCCCACAACCACCATGGGTGGCGTCTCCACAATGGTCACAGCCTCCACCACCTCCTTCTTGTTCACCTTGGATCCTGGCCTATCGACCTCCCGCATGATATGGGTCATGCCAGCCTTGTATACCAGGAAGGCTGTGAGGTGAACCGGCTTGGAAGGGTTATCCTTGGGGAAGCTCTTCACCTTCCCATGATGCCTGCTGCTGCACTTCCGAGGCAGGAAGCCGAGGGACCCATGTCTGGGAGCGGAGAACTTCCTGTAAGACATCACGCCATCAAATCTAGCCGGTAGACCCTATACAACAATCTTGCATGTTCTTCACATGTACCCCAAAACCTAAAATGCAATTAAAAAAATATTTTTTCCTGTTTCTGTGTCCCAATTGGTATTGCCTAGGTTGTCTTTTAGGGTTCTTATAGTTTTGGGTTTTACATTGAAGTGTTCGATCCATCATGTGTTGATATTTGGGTATGGTATAAGAAAGGAGTCCAGTTTCATTCTTTTGCATATGGCTAGCCAGTTATCCCAGCACCATTTACTGGATGGGGAGTCCTTTCCCCACTGTCTGTTTTTGTCAACTTTGTCAAAGATCAGATGATTGTAAGTGTGTAGCTTTATTTCTGTATTCTCTTGTCTGTTCCATCGTCTAAGTGTCTGTTTTTGTACTAGTGCCATGCTGTCATGGTTACTATAGCCCTGTAGCATAGTTTGAAGCCAGAGAGCATGATGCCTGTAGCTTTGTTCTTTCTGCTTAAGATTGCCTTGGCTATTCAGGCTCCTTTTTGTTTCCTTTAAACATACAAATCCTTTAAACTTTAAAAATACAAATTTTAAAAAAGTTTTTTTTTTTTTTTTAGTTATGTGAAGAATGTCATAGATATTTTGCTAGAAATAACATTGAGTGTATAAATTGCTTTGGGTAGTATGGCCAATTTGACAATGTTAATTCTTCCTATCTATTAGCATGAATGTTTTTTCATTTGTTTGTGTCATCTCTCAGTTCTTTGAGCAGTGTTTTATAGTTATCATTGAAGAAATTGTTCACCTCTCTGGTTAGCCATATTTTTAAGTATTTTATTCATTTTGTCGTGATTGTAAATGGGATTGTGTTCCTGATTTGTGTTTCGATTTGGCTGTTGTTCATTTATAGGAATGCTAATGCTTTTTGTACATTGATTTTGTATCCTAGGACTTTGCTCAAGTTTTTTATCAGCTTAAGGGGCATTTGAGAGGAGACCGTGGGGCTTTCTAGATATAGAATCCTGTCATTCCCAAAGAGGGATGTTTGCCATTTTTATTTCGATGACTTTTACTTTTTTCTCTTGCCTGATTTCTCTGGCCAGGACTTCCAATACTATGTTGAACAGAAGTGGTGAGAGAGGATTTCCAATATTATGTTGAATAGAAGTGGCACTAGTCTTGTGCCAGTTTTAAAAATGAATATTTTCAGCTTTTGCCCATTTATCATGATGTTGGCTGTGGGTTTGTCATAGATTGTTGTTATTATTTTGAGACATGATCCTTTAATACCTCATTTATTGAGCATTTTTAACATGAAGCATTGTTAAATTTTATCAAAAGGCTTTTTTGCACCTATTGAGATAATCATTTGGTTTTTGTCTTTGGTTGTATTTATGTGATAAATCACGTTTATTAGTTTGCATATGTTGAACCAAACTTGCATCTTGGGGATAAAGCCTACTTGATTGTGGTGAATAAGCTTTTTGATGTGCTGCTGGATTTTCTTTGCCAGTATCTTGTTGAGGACTTTTGCATGGATGTTCATCAGGATATTGGTCTGAAGTTTTCTTTTCTTGTTGTGTCTCTGCCACGTTTTGCTATCAGGATGATGCTGGCTTCACAGAATAACTAAGGATGAATCCTTTCTCCTCAATTTTTTTTGAATACTTTTAATAGAATGGTACCAGTTTATTACTTTTTTAAAATCCATTAATCTGTCCTCCAGCGCCGATTCCTTTTACCTTTTGACTACTGTGAATACTTTTGCTATTATTTATTCTACTTGAGCTTCTTAGATTTGCATGTTCATGTTTTTCTTCTAATTATAGTTTTTGCCCATTATTTTTTAAAATAATTTCACTTTTTATTTATGTATTTTCTTTCTGGAACTTTCATAATAATTATAATGATCTTCTTGATGTTTCCTATGCCCGTTTGGCTCTGTTTGCATTTATTTATTTATTTATTATTCTTGCTTCTCAAACTCAATAATTTCAAGTGACCTGTCTTCATGTTTGCTTTTCTTCCTGTCTGTTTGAGTATACTATTGAATCCTCTAGTAAACTTTTTATTTTGGTGTTTGCATTTTTTGATTACCATTTTTTTTGTTCTTTTATATACTTTCTATCTCTTGATATTCTCATTTTGTTCATATGTTGCATTTCTTATTTCTTTTGTTTGTCCATGTTTTTCTTAGCGTTCTGAGCATATTTAACACAGTTGACTTAAAGCATTTGTCTACGTGTAAAACTTTTGTCTTCAGGCTTGGGTTTTTGAAATTATTTTGTTAATTTAAATGGACATATTTTTCTGTTTCTTTGTATGCTTTGTCACCTTCTATTGAAAACTGTGCATTTGAAAAAACAGTCTGCTATTCCAGTCTTTGCAGATTGACCCAGAGCAGGTGAAAGCCTTCACTAATCAATCCAATCTTAAGGCTTAAGGTGCTTGTAGGCCTTTGTCGCTGGGAACCTCTGTGTGTGTTTTCCAGTTCACCCATTTGTATCGTTGGTTTTCAACGTATTACTTTTCACAAGAATCTCACTCTTGCTTTTCCTCAGACTATTAGCTGTTTGGTTCTATTTCTTCCTCAATAATCTCTTGCTTCAGTCATATGCAACGCTATAGTTCCCATGAAATTTTTACAAGCCATGCCTGCTGCTTTCCAAGGCTTCCTTAGCCTGAGATTCGACTTAATTTTGGTCATATAAATTTTGAGTTAAGCAATAGAGATACCAAACCCTCTGACTGCCCATAGACAGTTTAGAAACTTGCAAATTCAGTTCCTCTGTTCTCTTGTTTGTAGACAACTTGGGATAGGACCATCGCTTCTTTTAATCCACATCTCATCATGCTGAAGATATGGTAGGCCAAGGACGAGTTAAAAAACCACAATATTTTCTACCATTTCGAATGTGAATTTTTTTAAATCAAGGATTCATTTGGTTGTTCTAGATCTTTAACTGATTTTCAGAGCTTCTATAAAGTTATTTTATCCAACCTCCTGTTGTCTAATATTTCCCTGGGGAAATGAGGGCCTAGCGATTTCTAGTTTACCAATTTGCTGTTGTTACTCTCTTCCTGGCTGACTTTCAAATTATTTCCACATCTAAAATTCTATGATTTCATAAGTACAACCACATCAATATTAAATTACCAAAATATTAATGAGATCTAATCTTATGTAATTCATTCTCTGATCACATAAAACTTTTAGATAACCAAATATTTCCCAGGAGATGCATGCTTAGCCATACTTTACTTTAAAGCAGACTGTGCCTTGTGTATCCAAGAATTTTGGAAGGCTCTAATGATATAAAAACAAAGTACCTGATATTAGTAGATCACCTCTTTTTTGAAGAAAAGGAGTCATTAATTTGCCCATCTCTTCCAATCATGTCACTCCTTTACTTTAAGTCTTTTTGTGGATTTCTATTTTCTTCAGTCTATTCTCAACACAACAACCAGAATGAAATTTATAAAGAAAGTCAAATAAGGTCACTCCTTTGTTGAATGCCCTCTAATGGGTTCTCATCACACTCAGAGCTAAAGATTATTAAAGGGCCTATAAGACTCTATGGGATCTGCTCACACATCTGATTTAATCTTCCTGTTACATTCCTTAGCTCACTCTATTAAAGCCACACTACACTCTTTGATTTCCTCAAAGTGACATACGCATTTTGCCTGGAACTCACTTCCCTCAAATATCCTTGTGGCAGACACACCTTTAAGTAAACCCAAATAAGTCACACTCTTGTGTAATCCCCATCTTTTGTGTGCAGGTGGAACATATGACTTGCCTCTAACCAAAAGAGTATGGTAGAGATTGTGGGTTGTCACTTTTTGGGTACATTATGCTTTATTAAAAAAGTGAAGGAATTGTACAGATTGAATTCTCTAATCAGGTGACTTCAGGCTCATAAAAAGAAGGATTACTGTGGGCGAGTGATTTAATATCTTTTTTTAAAAGAGGCTAGAGGTCAGAGACTCAAAGAAGCAGACACTCTCTCATTCTTGCTTGGCTTGAAAAAGTAAGCTATCATACTACAGCTACAATGTAATTCATTCTACCAACAATTCCATGTGATTGAAAGAAAGCTTAATCCTCAAAGGTGGCTGCAAGCCCCAGGGAACACCTGGATTACAGCTTTGTGAGACTCTGAGCAAAGAACCTAGTTAGGCCATACCCAGACTTCTGACCCACAGAAACTGTGAGATAATGTGAATTGTTTAAAATTCCTAAATTTGTGATAACTTTTTACACAGCAATGAATAATATATTCCTCATGGCTCACTCCCGTGTCTCCCTCCAGTCTTTGCTTAAATCTCACCTTTTCACCTTTTCATCATGGCCTTCTCTGACCAATCTATTTAAAATTGCAACCCCATCAAAACAAATTCCCCACTGGCAGTCTTTGCTTTATTTTTCTCCATAGCACTTATCACCACTAGACACATTATATATTTTATTTATTTATTTTTGTTTATTTTCAGTCTCTGTAAGAAGAGAGGTCTTATATCTCCAACATTTGGAAGAGTGACTAACATACAAATGCTCCATTAATATTTCTAAAATGTATGAAGGAATTAATTTCTATGACACTTTACAGAATCCTCAATATGTCATCCAATGTCATGTGTGTTTTTGGATCCATCACTTTTCCAGTCTTCCCTTGTTCAATTTATCCCTTGACCCTTTTTTCTCAAGCTTTGTCAACCTTTGTTTATTTCTTTAATGCACCATGATTTGGGCTGTTGCATATATCTTTCCCTGTATTTTTCTAGTTAATTCACCTTGAATGTGGTCTATCAGGGAGACATTCCTTGAGCTCTTGGAGTAGGTTTGGTCTCTCTGTTATATATCCTGATAGTTGTATACATTGTTTATACCTTTCATCTCAATTGTAAATACTTTTGTAATCACCTGGACAATGGGTATTCTACACCCACGCCCCAATATTATAGGTTTCCTTAGGAAAGAGACACTGTCTTGTCCAGTTCTGTGTTCTCAGTACATAGGACAGTGCCTGTTACTGTGAAAGAATG